ACAAAAATAACATTTGAGGAATAGCCGAAGAAAGACTAACAGTAGCATTGTGCCACGAAACTTTTTCTCTGCCGAGTCCTTGCCTGATCCGCGAGGTGTAAAGCATGATGCCGTTTAACTGTGGCGCCGTCAGAAAAAGTCGATATAATATGATATAAGGCCATAAGACCGCGCCACAAATCACCTCGTGCTCAAGGACGCGTCAGCTCTGGAGGCACTCCATCACCACAGCGGCGACTTCTCCGCGTGCAACTATTTGGAATAATTTACCCGGGCTGAGCGTACAGTGTATGAATCCATGCAAAGTGCTCAAGAGTCATCCGATGATGCATTGCGTCGCGCTGCCCACCAAAGCTCTATAAAATCATTTACCACTCTGTAAATCTCTTTAATAGATGAAAAAGTGGGTGGGGGGGGGGAAAAAAATCACGACTAAAAACAAATACAAATTGGTGAGATACACACACACGCACGCGCGCACGCTGTATTCATATCCATGGCTCACTTTAGTTCTGCGCATATATGATTATACATTAACATAAAAGCTTTCAAAGCTTCAGGCCACTGTAACTTTAAGGAAGATAAATTTGATCGTAAAGTGCGGTGTAGATTTAAAATAATGTTTTTTTTGCCTCTTTTTTGGGAACTTGGACTGGAGCTAATATGTCATACAAAAAAATATATATATATCTCTGGCATTAAGCATAGTATGCTGGTAAAATATATTGAAATAAAAACTGTACGTTGCTGTTCTGGGCCGCCAGGGGGAAACTTGCAAACTTGCACAACTACTGTAAATTAAGTTAGACGAGAGCAAATTCGGTCCGCGTGGTGGATTATGTAGAAAAGTGTGCTGGGGTGATTTTGGCCAGGAATTCCTCCAAAATGTTCAGGTTCATGTCAGATTTTTGCTAGCAAGTCAATACGTGTAACTTGGGTGACTTGTGTCATAAGCACTATAAGCAGAATGATTACGGTGGAAAGAATGTGTCGTCCAAAAACTCCACAAACAATCAGCAGAATAGATATTAACAGAGCGATTCAAATGAATAATTCCAAATTCAAGTTATGTTGTTTCCTGGTGAACTTTTCAAGCACTTTCGTCCACTTGGAAGGCTTGACTCCTCTCCATCTCCACCCTACTCACACTTCCATTCCTTCCACGGGAGCGCTGGACCTTAGGATGGCTCCACAAACCTCATCAGGGAACAAGACTAAGACAGTGGTGGGGTCAAAATCCTCCTAATCGGATTTTTCCCCCCCCCCCAGCCAAGCCAATTGTGATCATAAAGCCACATCCCTCCCGATTGGGCCAATTTTACAGCACGCCAGCTCCATCTGTACAAGCTCAGCGCCTAATGCTTCATCGCTATCAGGACTTTTTCGGCCTGATGTGGACCTCGGAGATGTCTCAGTGTGAGGTCCGCGCTAAGCTAATGCGGCTTAGCAGAAGACTGCAGATAGCGCATGGACGGTCATTTCAGAAACAACAACTATGCGCTTCCGTGTTTTTTTTTTTCATCTGTTCGCACGGTGAAGATAAAGTGTAATTATTAGGGGGGGAGATGTATGAAGAGATGACATTTCTCTGTTGTGTCAGATGGTGTGGAGAAAGTAAAACCTAAATAGGTTTCACTGACAGAAACTTGGCATTCTGGAGATTTTTATTTTTTAGTGGCAGTAACGTCAATTGAACTTACGTGACAATGAGCAGCAGTTTGGTAAATACTGAGGAATTTGTCCAAAAAAAAGGAGGCTTCAAGCTATTTATGGACACCCGTAGTTGAGTTTCACTGTCAAACTAAACATAAAACAAAGAGGATTAATGCTTTTGACATTACACATTATATTGTGTATTTATTACTGCAGCTGTATAGCAGACAAAAGTAGTGGGACACATGGCGAGTTATAACATCTGGGGTTCAATTCCAATTTTTCGACAATGAAAGCTTGCGTTCCTCTAGTAAGACTTTTCAGGAGGGGGCGGGGGGCATTCATTTAGCATTACAGCAGAGGAAGTGCAGCAGACGGTGTAGAATGATCAACGAGGAGGAGCATCTCATTATTTGGCTCTTGGGCTGATTAACACCTGCAAGCATGCCAAAAAAAAAAAAGAAAGAAAAAAGAAAAAGAAAATCTCCAGACAGGTTTTAAGACGGTGAGGGAATCGCAGGTTGTGTGTGGAGAGAAGCCGTAAATAACTACGCGCCAGTGTGAAATCATTAGCGTCGTTACATTTTAGGCGCTGTCCCTCAAAGGGAGCTATCGGGTCGACTCTCTCGCCGACGGGAAAATGTCAGAAAGGGGGCTGCGTTGAGAGCGATAAGGCCATTTGTCAAGCCAAAAGAACTGAAACGTAACTCCAATATCATCATTTGTCTGCGTGTCCGTAGGATTAGAAAGAAACTGCTGGTTTGATTTGATGACGCTTGGTGGGCGCACAATGAATAATCCAGGAAATGGAACAGCTGATCAGACGGTAGGCGGCGGGGGGGGATTTTTATTTTTACGACAACGGGGCGCACGCTGGAAGAGTGGTTAAACCCCCATCTGCCTCACAGATCTGGAGACTTGGGTTCGAAGCCGTACGTTGACGTGGACCAAAGAAATTATGAATGAATCAATATCATGCTTTTGAATGATATTTCTCGTCTGAGGGCCTGCAACAAATACTTTACACCGGTGGACGAAAATGACAACGATAACTATTGATCATCGATCTGATTGAAACACAAGAGAGGAGTCTCTCGTTCACACGATTGAGACACCGAAGCATATTGGATGCATTTGTCACCCCGCTTGTGGGCATTCAAGACTGTTGTTGCCATGGAAACCCAAGCAGTTATGGCCCATATTTCCCACACCAGCACCTGAGTTTGGACGGATAGAAAATTTAAGCAATACATACAACGGCATTTTGAGAAATGGCTGTGTGCAAGGAAAGCTATTATTTCAGACTGCACCTGAAGGCAACACCGCATATGCAAATGTCTTCGTTAAACAAGAACTGTCCAGTTGACTTGAGCCAACATTTGCAAATTTTACAGTTGGTGCACTTTTTTTTTTCTTGTGACCTGACTTCTACAGCAGAGGAAAAAAAAAAAAAAAATGCCAGGCCCTTTGCAAGAGTACACCATCTTGTCTCTGAATTTATCTGGCTTTAGGTTGTCCTCCCTTGCCCATTCCAGTCCTGGAGCTCAAACACCACGTGTTGATGCACCCTCTGGGCAAATACGCACAAAAAAAAAAAAAAAACCCAGCTGCATGCTAATATACACAACAGAATAACATCATCTCCCTGGTCTGGTGTGAAAATGTAACTTGCAGAGCGGCTGCCAATTTCGCTTTTCTGGTTTTCTCCACGTTTTAACAGCTCCGCAACATCACAGCATGAAAAAGACAAAGATTATCTTAGACCGTGTTGCCAAAATATTGCGTAACGTGGTTAAAAATGTGAGGCAATGCTGCTTGGCAAGAGAAAATGGCAGCTAAAATAAACACAAGCGCTCAGGGGATTTTGCTAAAAGAGAATAATGGTGACCATCGCAACGAGCCAAATATACTGAGTGGTTAATTCATCTTTTAGCAAGTTGTCTGCCAAATAAATAATTCAGTTTCCGGTAATAATACTTTGTTACTGTATTCAAGTAGATTTCTCAGGGATCTGTATTTTACTTGTTTAATTTTTTATGGATGATAACAAGCCCGAATTCTAAAAGTCATGTGGCATTGCACTCGGGCATGTTAGCTTGTTAGCTCAACAGCTAGGTTGACTGACTTGAGACAGCGAACGACGTAAACATCTTGTTTAGTTTTTTAAACATCTTGTTTAGTTTTTTTAAGAACAAGTGAACTACTACATTTAGCTGCTCAACATGATGCTTACATTTTGAATGGGTCAGTTTTAAAGTGAAACTGGGCCCGAGATGTGAAAGACAAAATGAGTTAATGTGTAGTTCCTAATCGATTCAAACAGCATCACTGAAATTAAAAACAACAATTACAATTTTAATACTGTTTAGGATCTAGCCAGGTTAAAAAGGAGGCCTGGTTTATTTAACTCTGCATTTATTTAAATTGAAAATTGCATTTTATTTTCTTTCTCATCATTTTAGGCTTTTTTTTTTTTTTTTTTTTTTTTGGACAGCACATATACACACCTGCGGTTGTTTTAAAAGTAGTCGACAAAAGTTGAGTTTGGTAAAGTGTGAGTACTTTTTCTGACTCCGTCTGCTTCAAACCATGTAACAGCCAAGACAAAAAAAGTTTGCATTTTATACTGTACTTCCTTTGGGCAGTTTCAACAAAAATCTATTGTTTGTCAGGGGTTGAAATGTCACTTGATGGGGGGAAAAAAAAAGGCAAAAACAAGAAGAGAAGTTACTTATTTTAAAAAAACAAATGCTGTACTCGGGTCAAATGTTTGACCACACTATTTGACATGATTTCAACTTAATTAACGAGCAGCATTTTTGCATAATTTGGCCAAAAAAGGTTTTCAAGCTCCCAGTTGACGTTTACTTGAGACACAAACATAAAACAAAATACATTACAGATGGTGTACTTAAAACAACCGCACAATTGTGCCTTCTGCTTGTACAATAAAAAAAAGGAAAATGGTGCAGTGTTATAACCCTTTAAGCAACGTACATTTGAACACCAACTGTGAAGCAACACATGCAGACCTATAATATGACACTCACAGAGATATATTCTTTATCCTCTAGGGAAAATATTCACACATTGCGGCTTCCTAAGGAGTTGCTACTGTCTGGCACCACTGTATTTCCACTGTGTTTTCTCTGTGGACTCGAACAGCGCACTACTTTGACTTGTATAAGAACAAAATATTCCTTCAGGAGCACATCTTAAAAGGTTGAGCTGGCATTTGTTGTAAAGGCGTCTACAGTCCTTAAAGTGTTCAACTGATTGCTCGATCTGGTCGTTAAAAGGGTTTTAATGATCACTATGTCCCCTTTGATTGTTCTGTGCACCCGTACCTTAGGTCCAAGGCTCGGGTTTGTCCTTTTTGTCATTGGCAGCGCTGACCTCTACCTTCCCCTCTGGCACAGGTCAATAATTCACAGCAGCAGAACCACAGCAGTGTCCCTCGTGGGCCTCCCGGACAACTGGGGAGAAAAAAAATGAGTCCATTACCATGGCATTGCCAGGTGATGGATTTCATACTGGTTGAAGAAGTGCAGGTTTAAAAAAAAAAAAAAAAAAAATCTCAAGGTGACCTTCAAGGCAAAGGCATCGTTAGCAGACTCCCGTGGGAAAGTATCAAAGGCAGGGATGTTGTTAGACTTGTTTGGTATTGTTGGGTGTCACACGTCTTCAAGCTGAAAACTCATTTGGAATGGATGTGAGAGTTTCCGCCGAGAGGTCCGGTTCGCACCAGCTCACCATGGCACAGTTTGGAACCTAAACCACTTGTGTCTATATTTGTGTAGGTCGGACAGTCATCAAACACCAGTCTAGTCAAGCTTATTTATATAGCCCTGAATCACAAAAGTGAGGGGAAGAGAGAGGAGAAGTGGCAGTAAAACAGGCCAAAATTCAAATGTCAAGGAGCATAGCAGGGCAAGTGATTAGTTGCATAATAGGTGTAATTTAACAATTGCGAGAAAGTAGAGCTCCATCCTACCATGCTGGCAAACTATGGTAAGCCTATTTTAGTTTTGGAGGGCTATTCAAATGTTGACAACGGAAATGCAAGAAATGTGGTTGTGGACTATACTCTCGGGACAATTTATGGGAAACTGACTTTGTGATCACTTATTTTTAGAAAATGGTTGAGGCCTGGAGTTTTGTTGGATGCACATAATAGCATTCGGTAACTCACTGTTCACCCACCGTCTTCACTAGTTATGTCTCGGCACGTTTGACTGTCCCTGCGGCTGTTTGGTGTTTTACTACAACAATGAAGTGCCAGTTTCCCCATCCTGCTTTCTGGATTACAGAGCATTATAAAAATTCCTTTCCAATCTTTAAAGACTATGATTTCTGTTCATTTTTTTTTTCTGGGGTATGAAGATAATGGAGAGCAGTGTTGTTTCCAAGCTTGGGGTGTACAAGCCCTCGCAGCTCATTCCCAGCACCCGCCAGCGAGGCGGCATCTGCATCGCTGAAGGCAGGATGGCAGCCATGCAGGGTAGCACTACCCCAAGCTGTTAGGCCTGCTGTCCCGTAATCCGTTCCAGAGGGGCGGCACAGTTAGAAGACCCAATGGAGGCCACACTCCGGGTCAAAGGATACGATCAATACATGCGCTCGGAACATGTGCTCGGTCACAGCCGTTGGCTGCCCCGCTAAATTGTTGTTTGTTTTTGCGGAGGTAGGAAAAGTGATTACATGCTGGACTTGAGTGTAAGTCCAGATATTTGTGTAAAAAAAATATAGAAAAAAAGTACAAGGAGAATAGTTTCATTCGAGGCGATGCCTCCTTTTGTCTATGTGCGACGAAGCATACTTGCCGGGGCGACGTTGCCAGGAGACTAGCAAAGTGGGCCCCGGGCGCTTGAGGGACAGGTAAGACGCGTAGCCAGGACAGGCGGCTTTATCGGGGGGAAGGGGGGGGGGGGGAGCATCACCTCGCCACAACGGTACAACCGCCATTTGTCTCGTCTTCGCAGCGGCCGGCGTCAGCTGCCCTCAGCAGGCGGACGCACTCGAGTGTGCAGCTCCAGTCTGCCGCTTCCTCGGTGCCGCTCACTTCCCAGGCGCTCCCGAGAGCGCCAGCCGGCAAGCCGGGCGGAAAGCCGGGGCCAGGCCAGACGCGGCACACGAGTCACTCAAACTAAGCCTCATTTACTTGCTTGATTTGCATGGATCTAACTTTTATTTTGTCATACAACTGTTGACTGACTATGTGGATTTTTTGTTTAAAAAAAATGTACAACCACTGACATAAAAATGCACTGGAAGCCAACGTAGGACCTGAAAAATAAACCCGCCAAATAGTTTGTTTTTTTTCCCGTCGTAAAATTTCTTCGTAAATCCTTTGCTCCATATCATTTTTCCATTCAAAGCGACGTGATGCAATCGAAAAACAAACAGTGGTTAAGAAGCGCAACTGTGAAACGTTTATAGCACACGTAGTATTTTACGGCGGGTTTTATAGGCCATCTGTTATAAGTGCTTCAAATTACCGATATGTATAAATATCCTTAACATGCAATTAAGAGTGAGTGTGTAGTTTATAAACGTGGATTCTTGACTCATATTTGTATCAATATAAACCAGAAAAAAAAAAAAGACAGAAATGTACATTTTAGTACTTGGCCGACACGTTCTCATGCACAAAAGGCACATGGATCATCGAATTAATCACGGGACCAAAAGCATCTTTCTCCTCTAATCTTGGAATAATTAATGGCGCCTAATTTAAGCACATGCCTTATGATTCATGGGCACATCCGTTAATGACACGATAAGCACTTGTAATATCCTTGTCTGCGCTTGTCATTAATCATAAAAGTCAAGGTCGTTTCATGTGCTGCGATTCTGACAATGTCAACAATAGTCAGTAGGGCTCTCGCGATCGATCGCAAGTCAGGATGAAAATGGATTCTATCAAGTCAGAGGGATTTATTCAATTATTATTTGTGTTTGCATTTGACATTGCTCTTACGATTTAAGTCACAGTGTGTGTGTATCGACTACCAATCAATCAATTTGGTGAGAAGTAGCATCCTCTTAAGGGGCAATGATTACTTGGCGAGGAAGTGCTGCCTCCAAGAGTGAAAATACAATCCATGCTGCCAACGGGGGGGGGGGGGCCACAGGAGCGCTTTGCAGTACAATGGTGCCAAACCAAAAATGTGTGTGTGTTGTTTGTTTTGTTTAAAAGAGCACCCTCTAATCTTGTGCTTTACAAATTAGTATTATTGACTTCCCTGGATTTTGATTTCACATTAGGCCACCAAAGGTGCCTTGAATGAACTTTGGTGTGACGACATTTAAACAGACAGGCCCATAACGGCCCCTCATAACTTATAAAGGTTGCTCTCAGTTCGAGATAAATGTCAGTTAACGTTGCCCGTGCTTTTCTCAGAGGCCGCAGACGAGATGCTCGACGCTGATATTTAAACGAGGTGGAATGACGGCGAGAAAGCGCAGCCTGACAGCAAAGACAAATGTCAATCACAAGTGCTTTTGTACCGACCATTAGAATGATGTTTGCCTTTTGCAATGAAATATTTTTTAATAGCTTTTTTTTTTAATTAATTGTAAATAAATACTGTACTAAGAAATATAATGTCCATGATGAAAAGTTGAAGGCACCAACTGTATGCACATTCTACTAGTGGTACACTTTGAGCAGCCTTCTCATATATAGCAAAAAAACAAACAAACAAACAAACAAAAAAAAAAGAGTAATGATTCCACTAAAGGTTTGGCGCCAAAGCACTACCTTTTGCAGCTTTGGCCTGACAAATTGAAGCTCCTCCCCTCAATTAAACACATTTCCATGTCACCAAAAAGCCGCAAGATGTCACCAAAATGCTACTTCACTGTAAGATTATACAAGATGACGGGCGCCAAAGGACTACTTTACTATTCCACCGGGCTTTGGCCTGTCTATTAGAAGCTCCTCCGCTGACTTCAACATAGCTCCTTTGCACCAAGATGCAACAAAATGGCACCATTTTACTCAAATGCACTATTTTACCACAACACAAGTTTTTGGTGCAATAGCACTGCTTTTATATTAGACAGAGCTTTCGCCTGTCTCCTCACATCATTTCAACATAGTTCCTTGGGCCCAATATGCCACAAAATGGAACCATAGCACTATTTTACTACGAACCAAGCCAAAGCCATGTCTAATAGAAGCAAAGCTGTCATGAGATGCCACCAAAGCACTACTTTCCTATTAGACAGGGCTTTGGCCTGTCGAATAAAAGCATTTGTGCTTGGTGGAGATAATTGATTAGCTTTTTTTTAAACACCCCCTCGTCTTCTGCGCCACTGACAAGGGCTATAAACCAAAGATGAACTCAGCTCAGTGCCATTAATCCCAGCGGAACCTGAGGCGCGACTATGTTCGCATGCACAGCCCAACCCAAAAAACATGAGGGATGAGTGAAGGGGAGAAGGCAAGGAGGCCAATTTACGTGTAAGCCCCCCAGCAGCAGTACTAGAGGAGGCTGGGTGGCCACTTCATTCTGCGCAAGTGCATCATTATATGCACCATTTACCAGATGCCCATTTAACATGCAATAATTATCCCCCCCTCAAAAAAAATGCACCACCTCTGCCCAAGGCAGCTACATTGCTAGCATGACTTATTCATGATTGGGTATTGCCAAACACGAAACAGTACCGGTTTTCTGTTCTTTTTTGGGAATGTGCAATCAATTAAGACATGAGAGGTGAGCACCTTAGCTAAAGATCTGACTGGATTGGTCGAGATGAGCTTAATAAATAAAATAACTGGTCAGGTCATTAAGACAGTTGTAATATATGACGAAAAAAAAACGTTTCATTACAGCAAACTCTCTTTTCCATTTTTGACTGGCGTTATTAAAAATCAAGTCAACACACACCTTAGCCTGTTTATGTGAGTGGCACAGCATGGAGGAGAGACAACACTCAACCTTCGTTTACATCCTCACTGTGGCGGACATCATATTTTTATTTTTACGTCTGAGTGGGTTTCAATAGGCAACGTTCCACTGTGGGACTTTTATGTTTCATAGCAGACCCAATCCCTCGTGGCTGGACTGAGTTGCTTCGTTTTAATAGTGTCCATTCATTTCATTTCTTTTCCCAGGGAACTTTTACCGGTCTATCACACAACCGCACGGCTCACGGCATCCGTTCTCCTGAGCAGGGAGCAGATAATAAACTCGGAGACGCACGCGTACGCGCATACTGTATATACGGTCGCTGTTGTCTGATGGGCCAAAGACGGCCGCGCTCTGGCAGCCTTGAGGAGCAGATGTTGAATCCTCTCGGCCTTTAAAGAGGTTTTAATGGCGTAATTTATGGGAGATATAAAGTGAAATAGGTCATCATCAGCTCTCAGCTCCATGGTGAAGTGTGTGCGTGCGTGAGTGTGTGTACTTCGCAGACGAGGGCAGTTATCCCAGGAGCCGAGCACTACCTGAGGAGTTAAATGGCC